AGGTCTTTTTCCCACTTTTTAATTGGGTTATTCGATTTTTGCTGTTGAGTTGTTTGAGTCCCTTATTTATTTTGGATATTAGCCCCTTTTCTGATGTGTAGTTTGCAAACACTTCCTCTCTGTAGGTGACAAATGTCTGTTCAGGTCTTTTTCCCACTTTTTAATTGGGTTATTCGATTTTTGCTGTTGAGTTGTTTGAGTTCCTTATTTATTTTGGATATTAGCCCCTTTTCTGATGTGTAGTTTGCAAACACTTCCTCTCTGTAGGTCATCTCTTCATTTTGTTGATTATGTCCTTTGCTATGTAGAAGCTTTTTTAGTTTGATGTAGTCCCATTTGTCTATTTTTGCTTTAGTTGCCTGTGCCTTTGTAGTCTTGTCCAGAAAAATGTTGCCTATTCCCATTTTATGTAGCATTTTCCCTATGTTTTCTTCCATAGTTTGGGGTCTTAAATTTAGATCTTTAATCCATTTTGAATTGATTTTTGTGTATGGTGAGAGATAGAGGGCTAGTTTCAATCTTTTGCATGTAGTTAATCCATCTTTGGATGTTATTTATTCTTTTTCTAGCTGAGCCATACTCTGCCTTTGATATGCTGTAACTTCAGTACTGAAGTATGAGGTTAGCTATTATCAAAACCACTTATACTAGATGGTAGATGGATGGGAAAGGAAAGGGAAAATAGAGAATTGGTTAAAATATACACAAATACATTAACATCAAAAAAAGGAAGGAAATACCATAATATCATAGTCTTCATTTCTGCAACTGATGACATGGTTATAGCTGGTATTTATAATTTTCTTTTTCCATTATGCAATCCATATCTTCTTTGTTTTAGCGAGCCTCACTGCTGGTCATTTATCCTTACCTAGTGACATAAACCAAACATTAATTCTCAAAATGTCTGGGCCATTTTCAGTAATGCCTGCATTGAGCTGTAGTTTTCCACTGAACTTTGTCAAATGATGGGGGAATACTAAGAGGTGTTCCAGGCAATCGCTTGTATTCCAGGGATACTTCTTCTTATCTGTATTGTGATAGTAGCAGTCCAATTTCTCCTTTTTAAGATCATTCGTCCCACATAGTATAGTAACATCTTGTTGGCTTGTTGATTCACTGGTGTGAGGACCCCAAAGTGGTCAGGTGGCTGGTTCAACTTCCAGTTTAATAGAATCTCTGCTTTGGCCAGTAGTGCCAGCATTGCACCATTGGGAAAAAAGGGCTCCAGACCAGCACAGACCAATGTTTTGGGGGTCAGTATCAAAAATTTTACTAGTTGGAACAGGTAGAGTGAGAGGACCACTCCCATTTCCACCTTTTGATTTCCAGACCCTTGAAATACATGGCTATGAGATAAACAGCCATACTGGCTATATTGGTTGCTAATTTAAATTGTACAAAGCTTCCTGAAGGACATTAATCCATTCTTGTAAGATATTGGTACCCAACTGGTGGCATAACTGAGTCTTCAAGTGGCCATTCTCCTGTCCTGCTGCTTCAAGGTAATGGGAAACATGGCAAAACCAGTGAATTTCAAGAGCATGAGCCCATTCTGCACTTCATTTCTATAAAATGAGTTTGTCAATCACAAGGAATGCTGTGTGGAATTCTGTGAATAAGAAAATAAAGCATTCTGAAAATACATGGGTAGTGATTTGGGGAGAAGTATCACGTGCAGAGAAGGCAAATTCTAATCCAGAGTGCTTATTCCAAGGAGAACAAAGTACTGACCTTCCAGTACTGAAGTAAGTAGCTCAATACAATCCCCCAAACACAAGGTGGCTGTCTAATCCCCATGGAGAATGCTGCTGTAAGGATTTATTGTAGAAATCTGACCTTATGCAATTGTGGATCTAAACAATTTATGTAAGGTTGTTGTTCTGTATCTGATGCTGGGCCTAAGGACCACAGGGCAGATAGTCAGAAAGGAAAGGTGGATGTGAGTTGAGAGAAACAAGAACAAATCAGAACCTGTGAAGATAATCTGGAACCTGTGAGGACAAACTGGAACTTACCCTCAAGCTTTCAACTTCAGTGATACAGGGGATTTTCTACCACATCCTTCCTCTTAGAGGTGCCTGCATGCCTTGCCTTCGGTTCTGAGGGACTGAATAAAGAGAATTAGTGGGATCTGAACAAATTGCAGGCCCAACTGCTGCCCCACGCTGATAAGGTGAACCAGCAGATCTCAACAATATGCCTAACCTGCACTAATGCTTGATCATACGGTAAGCAGTCTTCCAAGCAAAAATGTGGCTACTGCTTCACTTCTACCTTCCAAATGTTACCCAGACTTCCTTTGCAGCTAACCCTAAACCAGAACCATGCAACTTAGTTGAAGTGTAATAGTATAAAGCCACCCTAGAAAGCAAATAAATGTTAAATTGAAAGAGGAAATAAGTGAATGAATAGATGGATGGATGTGTGAAATGTCTCAGGTCACTCACTTCCTTTGCTTTGCTTCTATCTATCTTAAGCTAGTGGCTGAGCTCAACCTTTTATTGCTTCACTCAAAAAACCAGTGATTTTTCAGGGTAAAAAAAGCAATTGCATTATGGTTTTGGACTAAAGGGAGCTATTATACTTTAAGAGAAAGTGTTCTGAAGATGGAATATAAAAACCTGGGTCCTAGTCCTCCAATTAATTGGCCGGTTGACCATGGGAAATAATTTCATTTCTCTTTAAATTTTCCTATGAAAAAATGCTTTGGCTAAGTAATTTATATCCCACTTAGTTATGGTATTCTGTGATTTATTTTGGTCACTTTCAGAGGTAAAATCCCAGTCTAGCTTACTTAACATCACACATTCTTGGTCATAATTTTTTGTCTTACAATGAGAATATTCCATTTATTCAGCTGAATATGCAGTAGAGAAAGTTAACATTTCAAACATCCAATACTACATGCATGGTGTGCTACTAGGCATGTTTTCATTCTTTATATGCCTGATTATAAGGAGAGCATATTATCATAATATAATCATATAAAATGATATTCCCTTTATTCATAATGAGACAAATTATAGGAGACAATTAAATATTTATACACTTGGATTTCTGTATAGACATAGATCTATGATAAATGCACTTAAAATAGTCAAAATTATAATAGTTTCTCAATATAATGTGTATTTTAAATCACATCTTAATTTAAAATGATTCATTAATATAGTCATGTTCCTTGTTTTACTCTCAAAATACACATCTGATAAATTTTTTCAAACTTATCTCATGCATCTTTGACATTATTCTATTTATTTGGCGAGTTTTCCAAGCTAGGAGGAAAAGGAAGTATTTGGTTGACGTTCTACCATACTGTGACTCTAAAGTGTCCTCAAAATCCAATTCAAGTAGAAGCTAAATGAATCTTTTCATTGCTTGTCATATGTCTGCAGTATCTCAAACTGAATCCTGTATCGGATATGAAGAAAGTGTCTGCAATCTTCCTCTGGTAAACACTATAATTGAAATTGTGAAAGGAGAGTAACATGTGTATAGTTCAGAGTAGGGTAGCTAGATGACTTAATTGATCATAACACATTTATTTTAATTTCTCTAGGTGAATGGAAAAACAGTATATAAATCAAACTAAAATGAAGAAATGAAGATGTAGTTTCTAAAATATTGACTGAATATATTTTTACTTCATTTCAGTTAAAAATAGTTCAATTTTCAATTTTAGATATTTTTCTAAAAACATAATATATCCACAATTTATTCAAAACAAATTTTCTTTTACATTTTGTGAATCACCTTTTAGGTGACTTCTGTGTTATAGATAGATGGCATGTGCAGTAGAATAGTATTTAGCACAGCTTATTATAACAAAGGTTTGATTTTCTCAGTATAAATCATATGCTCTTAAACAGATTCAGTACAGTATAAAAGGTCATAAAAATGCACAACATTTTTATTATATAGCATCGTTATATCTACTCTATCTTGAAGGAGTTCCAATGCTTTACAATTAACCTATCTGAGCCTCAATTTCATCGATATGAAAGAACTGTTGTAAATATTAAATGTCAGAAATAGGTAACATTTAGATCAGAGACTGACTGTAGTAAGAAAATAATAAATAAAATAATTCATTATAATTCAACAATTATTCGATATGAAAGAACTGTTGTAAATATTAAATGTCAGAAATAGGTAACATTTAGTTCAGAGACTGACTGTAGTAAGAAAATAATAAATAAAATAATTCATTATAATTCAACAATTATTCATACATTTGTAATTTTAATGCTAAAATTAAGATTCAAACATATATATGCCTTGTTAATAACAGTAATACTGCAGATTATCCTAGAACATATAAGTTTGTATTCACAGCTATTATTGTCACCAGGGGACTTATACTTGCAAACGATTCACAGCTATTACTGTCACCAGGAGACTTACACTTGCAAAAGATGTTAAAGCAAGTCACTGTGGATTGTATCACTCAGCACATGGGATTTATCCCTTAATCCAATGGTGCACTCTGTGACTCTTGGCCTTTGGTATCCATAACATAATTATATAATGAAAAATGAAAAATATTAGAAAACTATCTTTAAAACAGATACTTGAATTACATCCTACTGATGCTCCATCCTTTGGCGATCCACATTCATCCAAACTGGAGCAGCTACTTTCATTTCTGTCTCTATTCAGTTTTAATAGTTTGTTTCCAGGGCTACTTACAGATGGTGGTTTGGGGAATGTTGATGACCAGGGACCAAATTAAGACCACTAAGTCAGTTTGTAAAGACCAGTGAAAAGCAGGAAAGTGGAAATTGCTTTCAGATATTACTAATCTGCACCAGGTTTGGCCTGGAAGCCTAGCAATAAAGGTTCTGTATCTTATTACTCATCACTTGAGTCGCTTGTTCCCCTGTTCTTTAATTAACTCCTGTTATTTTAAAGAGTGCTTTTGGAATGTTTTCACTTAAGTATAGGAAATGATGATCTTCATTCAAACCTTTAACTTTTTTTGTTCCTTTTCTCCGTAGGGATGCAGATCTGTTCCTGTTAGACACAAGAAAGGCCCAAGCTTTAGATGTGGGTTGGCTTGTCTTTGATATCACTGTAACCAGCAATCACTGGGTGATTAATCCACAGAACAATTTGGGCTTACAGCTCTGTGCAGAAACAGGGGATGGTAAGCACTAAATTTCATATGCTTTTTGTTGAAGCTTGTTTTTGACACATTGAGAGTTACTACTTTTTATGTGATTTAACAATTTATGTTTTATAGTTATGTTGTACAAGGTAGCACATTCCATAGGTTAGTGCAATGTATTAATTAGTTAATAGATATATGGACACATGTATCCAACACACATTTATTGTCAGGCTTTTGGGGGTGGAAGGAGGGTAAAGAAGAAGTAGGTGCTGCTCCTGCTCCCAAGGAATTTTTAGTCTAGTGTTAAAGTCCTGAATGTAAACAAGTAGCACTACTGTAATATAACAATATCAAAAGAAAGCTATATCCAAGTACAAAGTGCTAGGCTCTATGTATTGATTATGGTGGTGGTTTTACAGCTATACAATTTGTAAAAATTTATAGAACTGTACATCAAAGAAGAGTGAATATTACTATATGCAAATTATATCTCAAAACCGACTAAAAAAATGACAAATGTATATTTAAAAAATTGCTCAGGAAACAAAATAGCTACCAATAATACAATGGGGGAGAGACAGGATGGGACTGAAACAAGAGTCATGAAAAGTTGCACAAAATAATATCAAGTAGGCCTTAATGTATTGCAATATTTGGCCAAAGACAACTGCTCCAGAATCGCCTCTGGGAGGGGCCTGAAAGAAATAATTTTTAGGAAGCTCAAGAAGAAGTATTCATTGAACATGCTCAGGAAACAAAAAAGCTACCAATAATACAACGGGGGAGAGACAGGATGGGACTGAAACAAGAGTCATGAAAAGTTGCACAAAATAATATCAAGTAAGCCTTAATGTATTGCAATATTTGGCCAAAGACAACTGCTCCAGAATCACCTCTGGGAGGGGCCTGAAAGAAATAATTTTTAGGAAGCTCAAGAAGAAGTATTCATTGAACACCTACTATGTGCCATGCACTGGGCTACATTCTAGAGATACAATGGTGAGCAAAAGCAGGTGGCTTCATGGGGTTTGCAGCTGAGTGGGGCTTGAGGTAGTAATCACACAATAATGTTAGTGAATGTGCATCACTACACACTGAGAAAAGTGCAATGGACTTGTGAGGACTTAACAGTGAGTGGATCTCACCTACAATCTGAAAGATAAAGAAAGTGTGATTGGGGTGGAAGTTGGCAGGCAGGCATTTCAGACAAATGGAAAAGAATTTGAGGAGTCTGTGGTGAGAGGAACCTTGGCACGTTTGGTAAAAGGCTAGGGAAGCCAAGGCCAATCTGTTCAGAGCTTTGTTGGCCTTTGACCACTCAGAGAACAAACATTCTAAATTCACATCTGGACTTCAAGGTGATTTAAAATTATAGTTGCCATGATAGGAAGATAAAACATAATATATTGAATGGTGTATTAGCTTGACTAGTAATTTTTAAATGTTCAGAAATACAGCATGTGAATCTACCTTGTGCTGTTAACACACAACCCCACAAAAGTTACAGCCAGGCCTAGGGAGAATAATGAATAAGAGGACATTCCTGATTTAAGTTATACTGCCTTTATTTTTTCAAAGAAACAGGCAAGAGAAATGTTAGATCTAGCGTCCACCTCACTTATCCTCCTTACTGTATTACACTAAAGCCTTGCTTAATAAATGATGGAGTGAAGTAATGGTTCAGTCTATCTTGAACCTGTTTCAGGGGGATTCATTGCTGTAGGCACTAAGACTTCACGGTGGCATTGTTTTACCTATAGCCATTTCCACAGCCTATGGATAATAAGCAATGTTGTGATCCAAGGTTTGTGTATATGGAATAAAGTTGACAGACACAAATTAAGTATATGATAGAGTTACAGTCTAGTGAAGGATTCATGTGCCTCAAATCTTGATCTAGAAAAAGGAAGTTCTTACTTGAATGTGTTATAGACAAAATTTCAGACCTTCCCTCCTCCCCCATATCTAGGCTTTTCCATAGACTTTAATTACAATGCTGATTTTTTTCATATAAACAAGTCAAATATTTTGGATTACAGGTTATTTTCCAATTATGGTTTTGAGATTATTGTTAAGGATCCTCAGAGTTCAAGCGTTAGAAATGTAGACTGAGAAAAGCACATATTTAAATAATCTTGCAAGAATTCTTACAGCGTTAAACTACTGTACATTTATGGTCAGAAATGTGACTGGGAAATCGGTGCTGTGGGGGTGAGCCAATCATCTCTTCCCTGGTATGTGGCCCAAACAAGAAAAATTAAATTAGTGGTATGTGCTTCTCCCAGTCTTCTCCTTGGGGATATGCTTGAAATGTCTAACTAAACAAATCAAGAATCTATGAAATATGATCAGCCTATTTCCTTTTAATTTCCATTCCCATTCCCGCCCCACATGAATTTTCTGAAGTTTCTCTCTTTTGTCTTTTTCACTCATCTCTTATATTGGTTCTCTCTTTCCTTTACTATTTATACAATTTAACTTCTATCTTGCTTTTAATTTATCTTTTTCTGCCTGAGAACTACTCTATATTTTGAATTCCCTTTCTCCCTGATGTATTTCTCTTCTATTTCATGGGTAATTTTACTTTAAATTTCTATTGAATTGTTTATCTTTTTTTCTGAGCCTAAAATAAACTAATGTACCACCCCTTTCAAAGGTCTCCAAACTCTTTACTATAGGGCTAGGTTTGAGATACACAGACTTCTGTTGCTTTTCTTTGTCTATCTAATATTTTCTAATATGAAAGATATTTAAATGGTTAAATGTGCTAGGCTAGCTGGTCTTTTTGTGTTTAAGCAGTACTAAAAGAAGATTTGCAGCAGAGGTGGAGCATATATAGGCTTGGGAAAGCAAGTAACCTTCTTGATACCTTAGTTTTATTAATCGCATATTAACTTCATGGAGGTTCACGTGACATTTCTCTATTAATATGGATAATGAGAGGTGTCAGCTTATTACAGCTTCACTCATTACTGCTGCTTGTGCTCTCAATGTGACATTGCTTCAGAGCCAACAGACCATCTTTCATTTGGAGTAATGGATTCTGAATATCTTTACTTCTCAGCAAAAGGAATTGAAAATCATTAAAGCATGAAAGTCAGGAAAGTTTGCTTTCAAATTTATTTCTTCACTATTATTCATTTATTAATTGCCCAACATACAATTCCTGAGTATCTCTATATGCAAGACGGCACGTGAGCATATGGTTAAGGACAAATGGGACAGAACTGAAAGAGCCATGGTGGAGGCGGCTTTTAAGCTGGGGCAGCAGGAAAGGACTTCAAGAAACAGAGATGAAAAGGCAGGGAGTCATATGGGTGTGAGGAGCGGTGGTGAGGACAGGAGGAAAGAATTCATTCCAGAATGAGAAAACAATGTGAGGAAATGCATAGAATGGCAACATTGCATGGTACCTTCTGGAGTTAATTAATGGGGGTGTGAGGAGCGGTGGTGAGGACAGGAGGAAAGAATTCATTCCAGAATGAGGAAACAATGTGAGGAAATGCATAGAATGGCAACATTGCATGGTACCTTCTGGAGTTAATTAATAGTCCAGAATTGGCTAGAAAAACTTTCTATATAAAATCTGGTTACACGTGCTATTAGGAAAGTGACCTGGAGACAAATCATGGAAGGAACATAAAATCAAAATCAAGCATAGTATACTCATACAGCTTGATCACGAGTCATAAAAGAACTAGACTCATTGCTTTAATCAATCACAGTGACAACATTGTGGTTACATGTTTGAATGAATCAGTTTCATGAAGTCACCGATGTGTATCTCTTATTCACAGTTGTATCCTTGGTGCTTGGCACAATGCAGGTCATACATTATTAAAAGCATCTTGAATGATCATTTAATGAGTTAGTGATTAAAAAGGTTCTGCAGGTCACTTGCCACTGAACATGTTACTCTTAATAAGGCATTTCAAGCTGTGAATTTTGGGTGATTATTAACCAAACCAGTTTGATGTAACACAGGAGCAGGATTTTGTAGAGCAAACCAAAGTACAATAGTTAAATAGTACCAATCATAAAGTGAGAAGAAAGTCAGTGATATATATTATTAAATCTTGTTTATCCTAACCTTGTGAAGAAAAAATAGCAAAGAGGCCTAAATAAATTTTGGGAATCAAAAGGCTGCTGAAATCAAAAGTAGCATTTTGATTCCTCAGAGAGTCTGTGGAAAATATGTCCGTTTGTGAAATACTCTATTTACAATTTGACAATTGAACTCCAATGGATTTGGCAAGAGAGCTTAAGGGTATTTTATTGATCTTTTTTTCATGCCGAATGATAGCTCTCTGAGCTCTGTATGTTTGTTTCTGTGAAATAAAGCAAACACACGAGCAAGCAAATTAAAAAGAAACATTGCTGCTTCTTAATGGCAAAATCTAATGATTCCAGAAAATTGTATCCAATTGTGCAGAATCAGTTTCAAAGTTCGTAAGCACTCTCTCATGGTGGCTCATAAAACTCTGTGATAAAATAAGTACTATTTTTCTTTTTGACAGCTAATGAGTAGGCTTATATCTGTCTTCTAATTTATTGTAAGATGCTCAGTTCCCTAAATTATAAAGATACCTTAATTATCTGACTTATTAGGTCTTTATTAACATCTAGGGTGATGATTTTTTCCTACAGACATATGAATACAATTTATTACACAAATAGCAATTTACTCTCACTTTTAAGACTTGATTTTTTCCTGTTAAACAATACAATTTTCCATAGCTTGATGCTTTCTATATTTTAAACCTTCCAAGTAAATTCTTTTTTTTTTTTTCAAACCTGGGTTTATAAAATAACTTAGAAATAGAAAAACAAAGGTAATATTTTTGGGTTCATTAGAATGGTTTTTAAGGAATGTGTTTTCAGACATTTTAGGTTTGGCAATACTCAGAATGAATTTTGCCAGTGACTTTTCCCCTTTCTATTCAAACCCACTTACACATCAAGGAAAATTCAATCCGTATGTTTCTGATTCATTTGTATTCAAATCATCAAAATGTTGTTTTGTCAGAGTATTGCTT